TAATGATTAATAGAGATACTGTATGTAGAGTGGTGTTTGTGTCAATCTTGAATCCAATATTCCTTCCTTCTGTGTTTGGTCCCCCCCCCACCTCCAGAGGGAGAAGCCTGTGTCTTTAGCTGCTAAATGCTCCACTATGTTAACCTGCTCCTCTTTGACTGTGTCTGTCTGCTGTTTGATGCTGAGTAGGTGGTGGACTGTGGCCTTATCGGAACGTGTTTGCACATAAGAGTGGTTAGACTGACCAGAACGATGAAATTGGACAATAATCATCAGTCTTAGGTGGATATTTTTGGTGTCACATTCTGAAGCATTAGAGGAAGAATGTCCTCCTCATTCTGATATAAACTTTATCTGTCGATTTATTCAATTTTATTTGTAATATGCATGATCACAACATACATTGAGACCTTTGAAAACACTTTGAGATATTCCTTTAATGTATTTGACTTCAGCCATTGCTCACAGTTATGTTTGTCTTTAAAAGAATACGATTTAAATACTGAGGAAATATTGTTGCCAGCTTTTGCAGCAGTTGTTCAAACTGTCTGATGGATCCTGAAATACATCCTAATCCTTACAATTTATCAGCAAAATAGTTACAAAATTCACTTACAAATAATTTGTTATTCCGTGCCTTTGTTTGTGTCACTGTTGATGTGCAAGGCCTTAAGAGTGTTTGAAAGAGTCTTTAAAATTATACCTATAGTCATTTTACGTCTTCAACATTCATTAGAAATAACTTGTATTTGTCAGCTCAGCTTTCCTTGTTTTTAAATTGATGTTTAAGTGCAGTTGCAGGTAGAAAAGATTCCATCTCAAACTTTCTCAAAGTCCCCTGTACAGTAGGAGGCAGTGATGGAGTGAATCATACTCACAGCTGTCCTTCCACCTCCTGTCTGTCAGCCCCAGGCAGAAGAGCCTTGCTCCCTCTGCCCCTCATCCTCCACCCACCCCCACCCTCCCTGGCTCTCTGACACTGTGTGACACAGAGACACGCAAGTGTCCTGCCAAGGAATACCACTGCCACATGTCCCCCGTTAGCTGTTTCTCTCGGCTGTGAGGACACTCGCACGCAAGTCTACATTGCTGACCCTTACCCAAACTGAGTACATTTACTGAAATTCAGCTGTACTCATTAGTTACTTTACAAATTAAGATTTCATACAAGACAATCTTGTAGAAGCAAAATTAAACTAACCAACACTATGTTACAATTTCCCGGAACAATTAGTCTTGTAGTTTTAGGATTTGTTAATCAGTCAGCTATCAGTAAACTAGTCAGTGACTCTTTGGGTAACTGATTACTCGTTGAAGTAATTTTTCATGTAAAAACATCAAACATCGCATACATTCATCTTCAACAATGTGAGGTTTTGTGGCTTTGCATGTTATAAATTACAGTTAAGTGAATCATTATGACGTTTGGAACGACAAAACAGAACAAGTCAAGGTGTCACTTTGACTTTAACTGTGATGGGTTTTTCTTACTGTTTCTAAGAATGAAAATAAATAGTTTCAGTCCCACATTAAAGAGTTCAAAACTAACTTTCAATAAGAGTTCAATGCTGCTTAGATATTAGCTAAGATACAGGGGAATATTACACTCCCAGACAGAATTCCTTTGCATTTAATAATTTTACTTTGATTAGTAAAAGTACATGTTGTACATGATACTTAGATTAGGTACTTGAGAACAATTTTGAATGCAGGATTTTACTTGTATGAGAGTACTTTCACTGTTTGTCTTTGGTACTTTTACTTAAATATAGTACTCCACAACTGACACACACACACACACAGTCAAACTCGGCCTCTCTCTGAGGTTCAGCATGTTGGAAAATAATTGGCAAGTCCGAGAGAAAGAAAAGGGAGCAGCTGAGGACGGCGTGAGATGGCTGATTTCCATCTTTTCCTCAGCTCAACAGTCGCTCCCTCTGTCTGTGAACCAGAAACCAGTCGTATTGTTGTTTGGGGTAAAAAGTTCATTCTTTTATTTTTGGAGTCCTTCTGTTTTACACGGAGGCTAAATATAGCAGTACAATTTGTGTGTGTGTGTGTGTGTTGGGGGGGGGGGTATGCTGTCATCCTGGAAAAGATCAAACTCTGCATTAAATCACATCTACAGTACACACACATACACTCACTGACTGATTTTGAGAGTTAAATGCAATGTTTCCCCTTAATGTCTCATGTCTCCGTTTGGCCTCAAATTCTTCTTACTACAACATGCTGAGTGTGCTGTTGTCTGTGAGCTCTAAATTTAAACCGTGTTGGTCCTTGTGCTGTTTTCCTGAAGAGAGGTAGGCTCAGAGCCGGCGTGACTCAGGCTCTAGATATTCATGTAGGCTCTCAGGCTGGCATGTTCCTGCTCGCTTCACACGATTTTGATAGTATCACATCTCTCCACTTAATCAGAGTGGTTTGTTGTGGCAAAACACATCAATTATCCTCTGATGACAGAAGCTGTCAGATCATATTCACACATTCCTCATGTCAAAGATGTGGATGGAAAAATAATTGAGGAGAGGGGACAATACACACAGTGCAGATTATTGGGACCGCAAAAGATTATTTTTGCCATTAATGATTGATTTGTTGGCTTTATCATCTCACAAAAAGGCCCCTCACAATTTCTCTAGAGCAAAATGTTTGTTTTGTCTCCCCATTAAGAGTTACATTTATAATCATATACAAATAAGAAGCTTGGAACTGAACGATTTACCTTTTGTGATTGACAATTAAAACAATTATATGCAAAGAAAAATAGTTGGGGATTTTATTCAACTCTTCAGTTTCTTATTGACTTTATAATATACATTTATAATGACAAAATATAGCAGTCATGTGCATGGCAATGAAAAAACATGTCATCCAATGCAACAGTGTGACTCACTGATGTGAATTTAATAGTTTTTGGACAAAGGAGCGTTATAGCCTTGAGGGATAATATACACTAATTTGTTTATGGTAATTCTGTTTTACGCCTATACAGAAGAAGAAGCACTCAGACAGTTGAACATCTTTGACAAGAAAAACCTGTTCCCGATTTGAACTTGACTGCCATTCCCTTTGAAGTAGTTTACCTTGTGACTATCCAGCTTTTATTTCATTCTGGAGAAGAGGAAGAAGCATGGAGTAAAATCCAGCAACGAGGGTGGGAAGGGAGCAACAGTTCTGTTGGTGTTGCCAAAAACCATTGGTTTTTCCAACGCACTGTTGAGATGGAGCACTTAGTTGCTATCACACCACAGTTTAGATCATTTTCACTCAATGTCCTCCTTCAGATGCTTCAGAACTGTGCGGGAGAACTCTGCCATTTTAGTGTGACAATGGGAGACAAATGAATGGTGCACAACCTTGTGAATGTCACAACCTTTTGTGGTTTTTTTTCCAATAAGGAGACTGCAGTTTGGTCTCTGGGTCATGCACATAGACCCAACTCTTGTCATTGGTAATGATGCTTGAAGGTTACATCATCCCGGGCCTGTGGACAGAGATCTTAGCAGTCTTGTAATTTGCAAAAATCACAAGAATGCGTGCAACACAGGTCCAGATGTCATATGACGCAGAATACCAAATGGTTGTTGCTGAAGTGCTGACCATAAATAGAGATGTCCAAAGTCGATCATAATGAACAGTATCAGGGCATTCTTATTGGGTGTGGTGATGTAAATGTATCTGCACTGGTCAACGATTTTATGTTCAGACACAAAAGCCCTCATAGCCCATCACCCGTAACATTGTAGTACAACCAAGAGTGGGCTGTTTGTAATTTTTTGTTGTATATCAATAAATTAAGGTTATCATCCTTTTAATCCAGTGTGCAAATGTGAAAAATAAGGTGTCAATTAAGTTGCCATAGCTGTTGCATTGAGGTCTCAATTACATATCAACATCAATTAAATGTATATAGGATAGAATGCATTCAACAGATACTAAGTGTTAGAGGACTCTGATCGGGATCAGGTGATCATAACCGTGATGAAGATTATTTGATGCAATGAATCAAGAAAATCAGTTTGTTGCCGCCCTTGTTTGTTGCATTTAACATCGTGATGCAATCAATAATAATGATGATGATAGTAATTAAGAGATGAGTGAGATAAAGCAAAATAGCAACCTTTGAAGTATTTTATTGACATAAAGGGAGAACTGAATTCAATTTCTCCCTTTTGTTCAGAGAGCACACCTTCACCATCTTCTTACGCCTTCACAAATCCCAATTTTATTCTTCGTGTCATCCTAGTGCCTGAAGGCTGGCACCTCCTGAAAGTGAGCACGCCTTTTTTTTTGCTTTGCCCTGCTGTGATGGCGGTGGAGGGCTGCCAAGAAAACCTGTCGTGTGTGTTTGTGTTTGTGTGCGTCTGTCTCAGCGTGTGTGAACATCCAGTTAACTCGGTGACCCAAGCTCTTAAGCTCCACTTTAGGAGTGAGACATGGGTCACATGGCATACGCACACAAACACACACACACTGCATGTGCTGATAGTGCTGCACATGTCTTTCCTTACAGTATTGCACATAATTTCCCACTTTTAGCAGATATCCCATTTCATTGATAATTCAAAGTTGTTCTATTTATCAGGTTTAACAAATGTAATGGTCTGTTTGTTTACACTCTCATTGAAATGGCCTTCCTTTCCCTGATTTTTTCAAATTGTGGTTTGCCAAATGTTACACTGCAGTGCTTCAGAGTAGACACGTATGTGTTTCTCCCACTCTGTATAAGTATAAAAGAAGCACATCTGAATGACACTTGTGTATGCTCAGTTGGACGCAGCCCAGAGAGCCATAATCCCACATTTTTAGTTCAGTTGTTTTTGGCATACAGCCTGAGGTTTGGCATGTACAGGAAGCATCGAGGGCAGCGAGTCTGTACAAGAGGTGTTATCAGCCGCAGCCAAGTCGAGTATCAGGGTTTGTATGGGTTGGTTTGACTGAGCAGTTTCAGCGGCAAGTGTGGTAAGCCCAGACAGAAAAATGTGTGGGTCAGTCACCACCTGTACTTTGTCAAAGTATTCAAACTTGTTTATTACCCTTCTTAAGGTCGCAATTCTTATATGGTTCCAGTCTAGCCCAATGTGTATCCAACTTGCGTAAGTACCTGTAGAAATTATTTGTTTGCTCAGCATTATTTAAGACACTATTTTTGTAATTTCTTATATTGTGGTTTGATGGCAGGGGGGTTGCACCTTGATAAGCCACACGAGTCCGATTGTGAATATAGGTTATACAAATATATTTTGATTGATTGATTGATGTATTTACTCTGGAAGGAACTTTCTAAAACTCAGTTAGAATTTGGATATAAAAAAATTAAATATCACTTCCTCCACTTTTTCCTGTTTTGAGGGTGAATGTAAAACTACTCTCACATAGTGTCTTTGCTTCCTTGTATAAAATAACTACCCTATACATTTTCAATGTTTTCCTTTCTTTCTTTAGTGGAAAACATTATATGGCATAATTTTTTATAAAATGTACTGTTAAGTTTCATTATCACTATTATTGACATGAGTCTGATCCTATCACTTCACAGAGGCTTGTCCCATCTCAGCTCCACTCAGAGTTGGTGTCCTCAAATGTGATTTTTCCAAACCTCCAGGTGTTTTTACATAGCGCATGATCCAGCCCAACTCATCACTCTTTATTAATCGCATTCTGACATACCGGGTTGTTTCACTTCCTCCTGAGCGTACAGTAACCCCCTGAGGAAGCTGGGTTTTTGGGTGTGTCAGGGGGATACAGCAGCAGTGAATGGACGGGTATGCAAACAGATAATATATTGCCTGTCTGTGCGTGCACGGCGGGTGAAAATTTCTACTCAGCATGCAATACTACCCACACACAATCCCTTTTTGGTAATTAGATGCAGTGTTCATACATGTTTCTGTCTGAGTTTTGTTTTGAAGTCTTTTGTTGTTTTTATTGCCCTGGAAATGGTTAGATGTTTACACGGCATGTCTTCAGATGTGACTGAAATGTAAAACTGGTTTATCCTCTTTCTCTTGACTGGGTTTGATGCATTTAAAAAATTTTTTTTTACCATAATGATCATGTTGTTTTGCGGTTTATTCTTTTTCCGATGGGGGCCAGCCAGCAGTTTGGGATTGATAGTGAGAAACCTTGAGGACCTGGGAGACAAACAACGAAGCCAGAGGAGGAGACGTTTCTGAAAAAGAGGAAAAGCAACAGGAAAAATAACGAAGATGGGGAGGAAAAAGATTCAGATAGCCCGGATAATGGATGAACGGAACCGACATGTAAGTATACGGAAGGCTTTCACCTTTCTGATGTGACAGTAATTTAACATGTTTGTCTCAAATCCCTTTTAAAGTTTAGAGACACAACAACAGTCAGTTGAGGTTGGACCTATGACATGTTTATAACAGAGCACAAAACACTCATGTGTCAGTTTGCCATTAGTGTCTCATAGTTTGGCTAAGACCCACATCTACAAACTGATCCAACCAATCAGAATAAGACATACAATATTGACAGAATTCAGTTTTTCGAAAAGATACAATGCATGAAACACACTCAATTTAACAATCCAAATAAAGGTGGCATAACATGATGAGCACCAAATCTTTCATGACCATGACTGAACCCTCTTTAACAGCTGCTTCACTTAAAGGTTCAGTGTGTAGAATTTTGTGATATCTAGTGTTGAAGTTGCATGTTGCAGCTGAACACCCCTCATCTCACCCTCTCCTTCCAAACATGAAAAAGAATCTGTGGTAGCTTCAGTTGTCATAAAAACTCAAAAGATGTTTTGTTTGTCCAGTCTGGACTAATGTAAAAAACATGACGGCCTCCATAGAGAGGACCCGCTCAATGTAAATATAAAGTATTTAAATATAAAGGGTCTTTTCTGGGGTAAAGAAAACTACAATTCATACAATTTAGATGAAACAAACAAGATGAAAACATCATGAGAATTATTCTGCATTAAATTTCAGCCAATAGTTCCCTTTCACCTAAATCTTACACACTGGACCTTTAAGCCTACAATGATCTTTGACATGATTTTGATTCCTAGGGTAAAAAGTTCACTTGCCAATTCTCTGGATCCAAAAGAGCTGTCTGACCAAAAATAGGTTTGTGCAAAGGGGCCCTGTAGAAGGTTATTTAGGTATAATGATTCAATATGAAACCAGGATGGCACACAGAAATCTCATATTTATTTAGCACATTGTAAATCATCACAGCAATGGCACAACCTCCATGTCTGAAAAGGGCTTTAAACACACTCATTCATTCACTGTCTCTTCCTCTGTCACACTTGAACACAATACCAGCCACATACAGACGCACTATAGTTCCTCAAACTGGTGATATCATGTCATATGATCCTCACAAGCTGTCTGACTCCCAGTCATGGGGGCTGTATGTGAGCCTGTATTCAACATGTAAGACCCGCTAGCTCAATTCAAAGAATACGACACCTGAATAATAAGAGCATACTGTCTATGGGAGTTTTATGTGTCGGCATTTTCACACACAAGTGTACACACACACACACACACGCACACACACACACACACACACACACACTGACAAGGTCCTGTCTGGGGGAGTGGTTCCTCTTTTCCTGTTATGACAGGAAATGCAGGCACATATGCTTCCTGACCCCAGTAGCAGAACAGCACTGACCCCGTCACAGTCCCTCTTGTGGACTATATGATGGTAGAGCCATATTTAAGTGTGTGTGAGTGCGCATGTGAATTTATCTTTAAAGGAATGTACCAGTACTAGTTTGAGCTGCTCTGTCACTATGGTATATTCCAGTTTTGATGTCATATTCATAGCTCTCTGGCTGTGGTTCTAAAACCTAGCTCTTTGTATGTAGATAGATCAGTTGTCCAAATGATGAAAGTTGATGATTTGAAAAAACACAACCCTAAGCCAGGTAGGTGCAGCAGTTAAGGGTCTATCATACTTTCCACATTTAGTGTCCACTGAGAGTTGCGTACTTGTTACAGTCTTGTCTTGCGTTCCACTCATGCATACTTGATCTCACATTCTACAGTGAAACTACAGCGATGTATGACTGACAACATTCCCTCTCCCTCTTTACCTGCTCTCTTCCTCTAGGTCACGTTCACCAAGCGCAAGTTTGGTCTGATGAAGAAAGCGTACGAGCTAAGCGTATTGTGCGACTGTGAGATTGCACTCATCATATTCAACAGCACCAACAAGTTGTTTCAGTACGCCAGCACCGACATGGACAAAGTTCTGCTCAAATACACCGAATACAACGAGCCCCACGAGAGCAGGACCAACTCAGATATTGTGGATGTAAGAAACACACACACACACACACAAACATTTACTCACTGGCACTAGATCTATTAATTAGCTCATTCACAGAAAAATGATCAGGAGCAATCAGATTAGTCGTTAAAGGCATTTTTAAAGTAATGTTTTTTTTTAAAAATCATTGTAAACTTAATATTTTTGGTTCTCAATGAAGGTAAATATATAGTAAACTATTTCTAACTGAATATCTTTTGGCAAATTCTCCCTCTACTTTTTTCTTTGATTTTTGCAAATAGTACTAACAGGTCCTGTTTGCAGCATACAGACACATATTACTGGATCACTGTGATATAGAGGAGAACTGAGAAGTGACAGCTCTACCTATATAAGAAGCATTTCTTAATCTATGATATTCAGTTGGGTTTATAGAAGTTTATCGACAATGGATAACGAGGGAGTTTTTCCCCTCCATGGTCGCCAAAGTGCTGCTCTTTGTGGGAACTGTTGGGTTTCTCTATATTAAATACAATACAAAGGTCTTGACTTTCTATGCAAAGTGCCTGTAGATAATGTATTATGATTTGGCGCTATACAAATAAAATTGAATTGAATTGAATTAACTATTAAAGTGATTTCCACGGAAAGTCTTATTGAACCTCAAAACAATCTGTGAAGGAGCCTCACAGTATGAAAACTTCTGTTATAGATTTAACCACTAAGCAAATGAATACAGTTCTTAAGCATAATCCATAATAAATATGATCAGGCTGTAAAAACGACTGAAGGGACTGTGTCGCAGATGCTTGTCAGGAACTTCTTAGTGTGTGTGGTGTGTGTGTGTGCGTGTGTGCGCGCATGTGTGTGTTAGTGTGTTTGTACCAGAACATGGCAATACAGTTTGTACTAGATTTAACCATGGTCTGCTTTGACTTATGTAATATTGTTAGGAGAACACAATAGCAAGTGCGTTCCTCTGCAGACACATGCGAACACACACACTCTTTGAACACCCACACACACAAACACGCAGTGGATATTTGCTAAGCACACCATGTCACCAAGGTTAAACCTAAGCTGTCAAAAGTCAGAGAGGAGGCAGGAGTCTGTTGCTTCAATGCTGGGAAGTGTGCAGGATTTTTTTTTATCGTGGTTTCATTTAAGAAGTCATGAAGCATTGATCAAGAATAATGTGGAATGTAAATAGAAAAAGGTGCAAACCCTTGTTATTGATTACAATAACATTTTAAGTAATTTAGAGAATCCTGTGGACTCTGAGCGTGGCACACTCTTTTTTCAAAGGGCTCCTAATGGCTAACATCGAGAGACAACCTAATACTATTGTGACTTAAGTGGATGCAGCATTGTTATGCTTTGTTACTATTGCATCAGATTTGGTAAGATTTGCTATTGAGAATTTTCAAAGCAGGGTCAGTAGTATCAGAGTCGACCAACTCCTTGTTATAAGGCTCTTATTCATGTCTCATCTTGAATTTTGGTGAGTTCTAAAACCTCTATGCCTCGAAGGGCACTATATTAAGAACAAGGAAGGAGGCTGCTGCTGTGAGTCCATGTGTGTTCTCTGTGTTCACATGTATGTGTTTACCTGAGCTTTTCCCTCCACGCGGCCCACCACATGGCCTCTTGGCCAGCCCCAACAGAACCAGTCTTTTAGGCTCTGTAATCCTCTGTAATCTGCCACAATCCTGTTTGGCTCATTACTGTAATCTGCCCAGGCAGCCGCTTCATCTCTGCTCTCTATGTCCACAGTCTGCTGCTTTCTGCTCTAAACTGTATCTGTATCCACTTCACCCGTTGTGCAGCATTTCCTCTGTCACTACTGTCCAGCTTCCTGTTCCCTTGTGTTCAGATCTTTCTCACCCACCCCACCATCCTCCTGTTGGGTTTGCCAATCTGAGGAAAGAGAGTGTTGTGTATTAGTGCTTTGGTTAATGATTACTATTTCATAGTATTTTATTTTCCACACACAATTTTTATGTGAATCCACCCAGCCCAAATGCTTCCCACCTTGTAGACAGACAGTGTTTCTGTTTATTCTCTTAAATATTAAATGGATGGTTCAATTGCTAAAGAGCTTATTAGCTGCTGCCTTAAGGCAGAAGGCAGACCGATCAATTTAGGCATGAGTTCACGTCAAAATCCACTACTCAAGCTTCAAGAAATCAAAGTGTCTGAACGAGATAGGGACGTCGAAGCAGCCACAGCAGAGGAAATTCTTGTTCCCCAAAAGGAGGTGCCTCCGTTGGCTCTTTTTTAAATCACCCAGCATTGAGCAATCTACAGTAACAGAACGTGGCTCAGGTCACATTTTTTCTGTCTGAACCAGTCCAAGCCAAAAGGAAAACTAACAGAGCTTGACCCAACAGCAGGCTTTCATGGTTTTTTTTCCCAAACTCGAGCATGACACATAATACAAACTGCAGTGATTTTGTGCTGCCCAGTCCCTAGCTCTCATGGCTATTACTTATTTTCCCTGATTACTGACTTGTGTAGTGTAAATAATCAAGTTGCAGATCACCCAGCCAGCATGACAGAAATGGAGCGACGCCTGTGAGCTAGTTCAGGCAGCTCCAATCATGTGACATACATCATGTGACATACCTCACACTCCACAATCATCTATAATACACTCATGGGAATTTCTCTATATTTAGTACAATCATTCACCTCAACGCAAAGACGTTGAATCAACTCGATTTTTGGTGGACAAAGGTCAAGGTCACAGTATTTCAAAGTATGTCAAAGTATTTTCATGATTTTTTTAATCTTGATATCTTAAAATCAGCTTAAGGGAATGTCTTCAAGTTTGGTACAAATGTTCAGTGGAACTGAGTAGATGTTTGTGGTCGAGGGTCAAGGTCACAGTGACCCCACAAAGCTCATTGTGTCTGCATTGTAAATGCAAAATCTCCGGAATGCTTTGAGGAAATCCTTTCAACTATGGTACATATGTTCACTTAGACTCACAGATTAACTAATTCGATTTTGGTGGTCAAAGAGCAAAGTCACAGTGGCCTCACAAAGCCATTGTGGACACCAGTAAAGTGAACATTTTAAAATGTCTTGTGTTGTAAACCATTTGTTAAATGTCAAAGCGGGAGTTAAAATAAATTTTTACTCAAGCTGATGCCCCAAAACCCAAAGATATTCAGTTCTATTATGCTCCCATGACTTGATGCATTGAGCTGATTAATCGACAAGTTTTAATTGCAACAGAAAAGAGGGGGAGGTTGGAATGTGTGCTTCAATGACTGTAGGCCAACATGCTGTAGCTGTGAAAAGGCTCTGAAATACACTATCTGCCAGACAGGAATTCAGTAGAAGAGAGGCTCCTTTGTTTTGGTCATCTCTTTTTTTCTTGTGTGGCGGGATGGCATGCGTCTATCTTATGTGTGTATATGTGTATGTATGTGTGTGTGTGTGTGTGTGTGTGTGTGTGTGTGTGTGTGTACAGAGTGCAGGTCAGACAACTCTCAGCTTATTGTATTGTGTTCATTTAGCCTGGGAACTTTGCTGCTATTTATAAATCTGAGGAGTTCTGCATTCTTCACTTTTACTCCGTCAACCTTACTTTGTTTTGGCCCACTCTGCTCTCTCTCTCTCTCTCTTTCTCTCTTTCTCTCTTTCTCTATCTCACTCTCTCTCTCTTTCTGTCTCTCTGTGGCTCCATATTGTTTTAGATTAGAAACAGATGAAGTTTCCAATAAAGCTGTGCGTGCACATGTGCACACACTGAAGCACACGCCGACGCTTGGATGTGCTCACAGACTAAGTCCAGTTCCTTTGTGTTGGCTGTGATCCCTCCCTGCTAAATGGCTGGAAACCGGTAGTGGTCTAAAAATAGCGCAGAACACAGCTAAGAATAGCCATGACGGGCTGTGAGTGTGTGCGACTGTGGTTTGCCTGTGAATGACTGAGTGTGTGCGTAACTATGTGAGCCACAGGAGGAAAATAGAGAAAAGGAAGAGAGGCAACTTAAAGCTGAGCAACCACGTCTTAGGTCCTCTCCTTCCTTTTCCCCTTGTGACCAGTCCACTTTGTATTTGTGGAGCCGAGGAGCTGTTTGTGTCCAGTGTTCATATACTCTATCTAATAAGATTGTTGCTTAGATATCCTGCTCAAGTGTTTGTAATAATTCCTGAAGATATATGTCAGTGATTACGTTAATTTCAAAGTGTAAAACTCCAAAACAAGTCCGACGTTCAAAATCTTCAAAAATACAATAAACGTAAAAGTACTTTGTTTAGCAGTAAATTGGGTGTGACGGACTCTGGCTGACATTATTAGATTGAAATAGATGATGGTCTTATTCTAAAGAGAGTGGTGTTTTAAATACATTTGTCTTGTGTTTTAATTTAAACGTAACTTGTAACTAAAGCGGTCTAGTGCTGTAATAATACAATATTCCCCTCTGAAATAAGTAGGTGTATATTTCAGAACTGCACATACCTGAGAATAATGACAACCATAATTTCAAACTTTTAGATCAGATGTTGATACAGTTGGGAGCAGGTGGTGCTTTCAGAACCAGTGGAGCTGTTTCAATTCATTTGATTAAATAATTTGGTTCCCTCTGGTGACCATTAATGTCAGTACATAAATTCATGGATATTTCAGTTTAAACCCAAAGCCCTGGACAGGCTCAATTAACGAATGAATGAATGAGAGGCCCAGAATTCTGACTTGTGTGTTGTGTGGTTGTCATATATGGTTCTACCTCTTCAGGTGTTCATTGGTTATTCAAAAGAATCACTGTTGTATTGAACACTGCACTGAGTATCTCTTTAAACAGATAGCCTAAATTTAAATGTTTAACAGAGCTATAAAAGTGTCTAAATGTTAAAATAATATCCTGGAATTCCTAAAAAAATATTTTTCAATTGTTATTTGTAATGTTTAATTAATACAGATGAATTGCTGGTAGACCAGGACTAAACTAATATGGGCTAATCAATAAATAGGTCTTTATTGTTTCGCAGCTCTATGTCGCGGAGAATCTGAGTAAATAAAGAATTAACTAAATAGGTATGTCCTTCTGAGAAACTCAGATGGATGCTGCTGTCAATTTATGAACTGTTTTCACTTTATTTACTTTATTTATGACAACTAATTATGAGCAAAGTTATCTGTAAATTTAGATGTATACGATAATTAGCTGTTAAATAAAGGGTATTTCGTATGTCTTTAATGTAGGTCCACTACTATAAATATGTGCTGCTCTAATTCTGGCTGAGCAGTTGTGGGATGGTGTAAAAGTTGCACGTCATGTTCCCTGGCGCACGCACGGACATACGCACACACATACGCTTGTGCACGCATTGCACTCAGAGCATCATTTGATGTGGAAGTGGTGGAGCAGGAGCAGGAGGAGAAGACCACCCACGAAACAGAGAGAGCTATAGAAGCAACTGTAACTGAGAAAAGAAAAAAGAAAAATCGATGGAAAAGAGTAGTGAGGGTGGAGGTGTAGATGGATGTGGGGGGAGGAAGAGCAGCGGGTCTGGCATGGTATTATGGCATCCTCCCTGTCTGTCTCCAGTGCCTCCAGAAAGCTGTTCAAACCACCTGCCACCACACACACCCCAACACACACATTCCTGACCAGTGGTGTAAAGTAACTCTGAATATTTACTCAAGTACAGGACTTAGGTGCTTGTTCTTTAATTTCTTAGCATTTCATACTTCTCTACTTCATTTTTTTTTCTCAACTACAAATGTACACAAATATTGAAAGATTTGTATTTTTTCAATTTAATTGTAGTGCAGCTGAGTATAAAGTAAGACCAGTATAAAGTAGCATCAAGTAAAAATACTCATTTACAGGTATAAGTAAATGTACTTACTTTATCTGTACTGCTACCTTTATGTGTCCCTTTAACAACCATTCAAGGTAGAAATGATCCAATATTTCTCAGAAAGCAAAGATTAAAGCCTGTAAAACAAATTTAGATTAGTGAATCAGAACTTCTTTTCTTCTTCTCTCCCAATAATCATCTCACCACCTCTCAAATTTATCTGGTGACCATTTGGAGGGGCCAGACCTGGGGTTGTGAACCAGCGGACAAAATTATCCAAGTAGCTGAAATCAGAAAAATGCTTCTGAAGCATCAATGATTCTGGATTAATGATTCAACAATGTCAGTTCATGTCAAGTACTTTTACTGCTATACATTTTGTTGAATTTTTCTGAACTTTAAGTCAATATTTAAATACAGTCTAACTAAAATAATGTTTCTCCACCACAGTTCCTGGCTTTGTTAACATTCGTGTGCTTGTTTTTTTTTCTTTATTGAAAGAGGAAGGAGTGGGTGTGCAGTAGTGACACCGTGTACAGTGTGCGTGTTTGAAGAGGGAAAAGTAGGCTAGAGGAGTCGGTTTTATGTTTTAGTAGAAGAGCCAGATTTGACAGATTGTGAGGGAGGGATGGGAGTGACGAGAAGCGGAGCACAGCAGTGAAAAATAGCCTTCTACGGCCATCTCTCCTGTAGCCACACTAGCATTGGTGGTAGCTGCCTCACCCTTCTCCTCCCCCTCCTCTCACCCCCACTCCTCTAAAGTAAAACAGGTGGACATGACTGGGATGAGTGGGATAGCTGCACTGGGCCAACCGCTGAGTCCTCTCCGTGTGTGTGTGTGTGTGTGTGTGTGTGTGTGTGTGTGTGTGTGTGTGTGTGTGTGTGTGTGTGAGTGTGTGCGTGCTACAGTCTACAGTGTCCAGTGACAGACTGGACTAATGGGCTGTGAAGTGCTGAAGCAAGGCCACTGAGAGCCAAACCACACACACACACACATACACACACACACGTTGCACAACCATCGTCATCATCATCTGATACCTGGGTTAGAGCAGAGATTTTACAACGCTTACATGAAGCTTACTGACGTTGGAGTCACCCAGAACACGTTTGCCAAATCCACACATAAACTGAGAGAGAGGCAGATCTCTCTGGAGATTTTATAATTTTTGTGTTTCTGAAGTGAGTCATGTCTTTTTGTTCTTGCTCAGAAAGTTGGAGGATGATGATGCAAGCTGAAGGGATACCTTCTCATATGGTGCTCTCTTGCGGTAGAAAGATGCACTGCAGCTTTTTTAGTTAAAGGGATAGGTTCGTGTTTGTGTGGCATACACAAGAAATAATGCAATGATTTTAATTTAGCAATTATCTTTATACAAAGTGCAGTTAGCAGATGAAAAACCTGTGACCTTAAATCAGCCCCTGGTAATGATGAAGTACTTATTGTTCAAAGTCTCTTGATGTGATCCATGACTGGTTGTATTTCAGAACATCACTGCCACCTGCTGACCAGTGAAATAGAGTGAAACTACTGGCTGATCTCAGTCACTTTATCCCTATGATTTTACATGTCATGTCTTTTTTTACCTCCTCTAACCAGACACTGCGTAAAAAGGGTTTAAATGGCTGCGACAGCCCTGACATCGAGGCAGATGACTCTGCTGGTCAGAGCCCAGAGTCGGACGACAAATACCGCAAAATCAACGATGACATCGACCTAATGATTAACAGACAGAGAATCTGTGTAAGTTCACCATATTCTCTGTGTTTCCATCTAAGCAGTGTCATGGATTCTTCTCAATAATCTTAACTGTTGATTTTAATCGCACAGCAGGGTCTGCCTCCCTCCAACTATGACATGGGAGTGTCCATCCCAGGCAGTAATGCCAGCGGACTGCTGTACTCCCACCCAGGCATAGGAGGTGGTCTAGGTAACCACAATCTGCTGCCCATCTCACACACACACCCCTCCCTACAGAGAAACAGCATGTCCCCTCAGCGGCCCTCTAGCACTGGAAATGAAGGTATGTATGATATTACTACATAATCCTAATTCAATAATCTGTAGTCTTGACCCCTGGATATCTGACCACATTTGTATGTGTGTGTGTGTGTGTGTTGTTTTTGTCTATAGGACTGATGAGCTCAGAGCTGACGAGCACTGTGGTCTCCAGTGTGGGTAAGACTGGAACTGCATCTTATTCCTCTGTCACTAGATACATTTCACAGGACTTGTGACCAGTTCAATTGTTAAATTTAGTCTACAGTTATTTTCATTATCACTTTATCATATGTCCTTTGATTACTTCAAAATTGTAATCTGGCATTTCTGCCTGATCAGACATTTTACACATCAAATGATGATTCGAACAATTGTAGTAATAATGATGATTACTTGAAGCCCTGGTACACCTTTACATAAATATTTAACCATGAGATGTTGATGATTTTTATTTTATTTTGTGTCCTGTTTAAGATAGAAACACCACAGAGATCATTAATCACAGAGATGATACAACCAAAACAGAAACTTGTTGAAAACTCTTATTTGAAATAATTTAATCATTTTAAGTCATTACCAAAAAGCCAAATCTTAAGTCTCAAGATTGGCTTCCTAAATATAAGGATTCACCTTAAAGGGGTTTGGATCAGCAGAAAATTAGAAGACGTCACTTTGGAGTTTGGGGAATAAGACTGAGTATTTTATAGAGTAAATGAGAAACTGAGAAAATAATCAGCAGAGTAATCGCAAAAATGACCTGAACTTCAACCTGATAAATATGAATTAAACTAAATATGAATGTTTCTAAAAAATATCCTCATACTAAATACATGAAATGTACTAATAAAATCATAAAACAGATAAAACTGCAAACCACAATCTGAATATTCCAAACAAAGAACATGCTAGGCTCTCATTCAGAGAGAAAGGATGAAGCATGCACACACCTTCAGCAACAAAGATCATTTATCAGTGGATTGAAATTAAAACTGCATTCAAACATGAACATCCATTTTTGTGTCTCCCCAGGAAATGGCAGCTACACCAACCACTGCACCTCCCCGGGGCTGCTGTCTGCAGGAGGAGTCTCCAAAAACATGCAGGATAAGAGCCCTCCTTCGATGAGCATGAGCCGTAAGCCTGACCTCCGAACGCTGATGCCACCCTCCAACAAGTGCAACAACATGCCAACAGTTGTGAGTGCTGTCTTCTGCATTCCACCCCTGTGTACTTGAGTTCATGTGATTTTCACTCTGTTCATTTTCACTGCAAAATAAGCCCCATTATAATGCATGGAATAATGTTGGTTTGTGCTTTAATGCTGCCCTTCAGTGTGAGGACTTTGACCTCATGTTGGTAAGTAGCATGTAAGGGAACAAGTAGTGCAAAAGCAAAAAGCTCTGAGTCTGGGTCAGTATATCACAGGGCAGATTGACGTTGACTTTTTTATCCAATCTCAACAACGTCGAGGTAAATCACTGTAGTCGTCACCCTTCCTCTCTCCCTAAAATTATTTATTGTGTGCATAAAATATTTTTCATGCACCAGACCCATACTAAAAATCCTCATGGGTATTTCCCTCTTGAAAAACCAAGATCTGAGTTCCTGGTTTTGAAAACAAACCAAATGTAGTACCTGTGTCAAAATGTCAATATTTGTCTAAAATGACGCTCAGTGTTTTTAGACTGTTTTCATTAAATGCAATGAGACCACTGCAGGTTTGAATCAGTACAAACTGTTTAGCTTGAATGCCTGTTTGAATTCATTGAGTAATTTATGCTCTTTGGCAGCAGAGTGTGGAAGCTAGCTTGACTTCCATCTGTTTCATACATTTTATATCTTATTTTTGTGGCTGTGACTGTGTCCCGTTGACAAAGCTGAGGGGAGAGCAGCATGTTTTGGACATTGAGGATCATACCTCCTGACCTCTGGATCGCAGTCACAGACCATACTCATGTCACCAGTGATGATCCTAGATCCAGAACTGGTCTTTATGTTGAGTGTGACTTAATGTGGAATAATGACTTACTTGCAGATGCTTCATGGGCTCTGAACTCTTTGATCGTACCTCACAGTTTCCAAAAGCCCCTGCCATTAATTTGGCTTTAGTCTCAAAATTTCCAAAACTGACTTTGCACTCTGTGTTCTTCATGGAGACATTAAAAATGCTGTTGCCTCCTTTGTTGCAGCTGAAAGTGTGTATATTGTTCCACGAGCGTTGAGAATTTATGAGCAGAGTGACCCTGCCTAATACACAGGACTGCAGTGGTTTACTCAGATTTTACTGAAACCACTCAAATGAAATGTCTCTGCAGCTTATCTGAACAGTAACATTTAGGGTTTGGTCTATTGTTTCGAGTGTGTCTTTGTGTTGAATGATTCACGTTTTACACATGTTCTTTTCCATTGTTTTTGCAGAACCAGAGAATAAATCACTCTCAGACCGCTCAGACTCTGTCGACACCTGCAGTGTCCATCTCTGCTCCGACTCTACCTGGACAGGGGATGGGTGGATATCCGTCAACACTCAGCTCTTCTTATGGCACAGGTGATTACTACAGAACCATACTGCTACAGACAGAGGAGGGCTGCCTCATGTAGCATCTAATCATTTAATGAGGAGGGATTTTTTGTGGGTTTTCTTCAGAGTTCTCCCTCGGAGCTGACCTGTCCTCTCTGTCTGGATTTTGTGGTTCTGGTCTTGGATCAGTGACTAGCTGGCAGCATCAGCAAATACAGAATCTGCAGCATCCAGCACTCGGACACATGGGGTAAGAGTTTCCAGTTAAAATGACATTTTTGGTGCAAAAATATTAACACACATATTTTCGGATAAAAAGGAAAAGAGAGATGAAAAAAACCACATGGTTCAATGCAGCGAAAAACATTGTCGACAGATCTTATTGCACCTACTCTTTTTACAATATTTACAGTTTACATATTTGTTTATAAATCATTCAACACGTTTATTTTATTCTTACATGCTCTTTATGTGTTCTATGTGTACAAATAGTTGATGATTGTTACATACATTTGTTACTGCATAAAACTCCACAGTTCTTGTTCCACAAGTTAAATAACATATATATATATATATATTATTACAGCAATATTTTTTTATAATCTGTATATGAAAACATTCCCTGGGTAAAACTTCTTAAGTGTGGGGATTTGCAGCTCAATTATTGGAAGCTGAATATTTTTGTTTCAGACATCTGCAGAGGTATCAATAATTCTCGTTTCACCTGGGGTCACATCATCTAATTATTTAACTCAATGAACGACTGTCTGGATCTCTGATGATCAGATCAGATTCAAATAGTTTTGAACCACTCCATGGTCTCCATGATTTCTCCACATGGGTGATGGGTCGAAATGCTCCATAAAATACAATAATGATTATAATATCAGTGGAGTTGTTTTAAACGTGTTGTGGCTACAACTGTTGTCTTGATGCTGCTGTGATTTAGTTGTGCTGCAGAACAGACGAGGCTGTCTGCCTCCTCAAGCACTCTTCTTTTTCTCCCTGCTTCTCTTTCAATACAATTGTCAAGGTGAAGCTGCCTTTGTTTGAGTAAAATGTGCAGGAGTTGTTACTGGTCAAAAAGTTGCCTGTGGGTTAAAAGTTTACATTCAGTGTGAGACCCATAAAGTGTGGGTTTACATTCAGCAAGTTATGTTTGGGATAGATGATTAAAGTATGCAAAAGATTCATTAAAAACTCTTCTTGTCCCACAGAAACTTGTGTCAGAACTCAAACCTAAACCTCACCTCCGGTCATCAGAACCTACACATCAAGTCTGAGCCCGCTTCCCCTCCCAGAGACCGGAGCATCACCATGGTCGGCACAGGACTCGGAGGAGGCATGACTACGGCTGGATACTCTACCTGTGGCAGGGGTCCCAACGAATCGGGCCGCTCCCCCGGTGATAGCGCATCCAGCTGCGGGAGCTCGTATGAAGGCAGCGAGGAGCGTGAGGATTATCACGGCAACGACGGCTTCCTACTCCGCCCTCTGTCGAGTCAGGAGGAGCGTCACAGCCCCTCAGTCAAACGGATGAGGCTATCAGAGGGCTGGGCGACATGATGGGGGCCGGTCTACAAGCAGAGGGGAAGGGGTGTTAGTAAAGTTACCTTATAGTGTTATTATTATTATTATAATCAAATTGTTATTGTACCGAGTGGGTGTGCTATATGTGTAATGGTAACATGTACGTGGGGGGAGCACAGTCAGACAGTGATACAGTGATGCTCTGCTGTATTTACAACATGTTCTGTAGCCAGACTTGTACACTGGAGCGATGACTCCTGGAAGATTAGAACTGGTGAACAGAACTTGTAAGAAATGGGTTTTTAAACATTGAAAGCTGTGTCAAAAACATCTCAGCAAAAAGAAGGATTCAATGGTTTTGACACTCAACTGTTCTCAGTAGAGGTAAAGGAATAAGAGATACCAACACGATAATAAAAAGTAAAAATCCTCCATTTCGTGTAGGTGATAGATTCAGCAGATAAATATGAACCTTAATGTGATTCTAACAAACCTTAATCGTAATACTTACATAATGTAATACTACTCTATGAAATTCAAGAATAATGAAAGGAATTATGATTCAACAATAGAATATTGTTTTATTAAAATGTATACAGAGCATTGAATTTTATTCCAAATTACTCGACTTATTATTAAACCACTTAAAGCCACGTTTTGTTCTTATGTGATTAACGTGATGCTTATTATGCAGGGCGTGTTAATGAGTAATGGGTATAAATAAACTGAAAGTGGGTCATTTCACCTGAGATGTTTTTGACATAGTGAGTGTGACTGTTCTCAAGACTATTTCTTACATGTCATTTAACACCAACATGTACAGAAGTGGCTGGAAGGGCTGATGGTATACATGCAACGTTGGCTTTGTGTGTGTTCGGGGGGGTTAAGTAAATAGCAAGTATGTTTAATGCACATTCACAGATGTGCACATGTATGCAAACTAACAAAGGTAAAGTGAATAAGTCTGGTACTCTGAACGGTGAAGCTACTTAATGAGATGTGGATCATTGGAGCCATGAGAGCAAGGCGTGCTGAGTTGAAGCGCTTAGCGTCACCACTACATACATGGCGTGTTGCAGGTTCAACATATGTGCACACACAGAAACATAAAGGCAAATTTAGAATGTAGAAAGCATGGAAGGTAAAGTCTGGCAAATAAAAGAGGTAGAACGAGAGAGCTTGAGTAAGTACAGTAGAAGAGAGGTGGAGAAATGTAGAGGTGGAAGAGAAAAGGTGACTGAGGAAGAAAAGAAGAAACTTATTTGCAACAGGTTGCATAGAAAAGAAGCTTTGGACAAGTTTCAAATTGATGTGAAGACACTAATCAGAGTTAGTAACTTATTTTCAGAGCCCTGTTAGAAAAAAATAAAGATTTTCTTTTTTATTATTTTGGTGGATGCAATTGCTAAGGTATGGAATCAAAAGTCATTTAAGTTGTTTTTACTTAACTAAGGAACTGAAAAGTAACCACTACTTAATACTTAGTTTTTCATGTTAAAAATGTATGTACTTGCACATATCTGGCTATTATAAATTATGTGATACAACCATAGAAGCTCATGCTGTGAAGGGGAAATAGGAAGATAAAGGTTTAAACAAAGACATTTCATACTAAGTGAATACATCAATGAATAATGAGGGATGTAGATCTTCCAAACAAAGTGGTGAGGATGGAAAAATACCAATAAATTAATGTTTAAGATGTTTGTTTTTAAGTAAACAAAGATAAGTAATCATAAAGTTATCATAACGTGAAGTTTAAGAATCCATATGATTTCAAAACTAACTCGAATTGACAAAATCGTCTTAGCTCTGCAGATGCTAAAATTGAAGATAACATAATTATACAATGTTCTTTGACTTGATTATCTGAAATCTGTGTTTTAAACTTTACACAAATGGACCAACCATATAAATTCACACAGACATCTGTTAAATCTGAATATTTCAATGCAGTGGTATTTCAATTTAAATGTTAAGTATTCTATAGTGGTTACAGTTCACAATTTTGGTAATCATTTGTCAAGACAATGTTTATGGCTGCTCTTGCTTCCATACACAACAACCTGCATTATTTTCATAGAATCAACAGTGTCTGTTGGTTTATATAACGACTGGAGTGGTAAATTATACAAAGGGAGATTTTCAGTCTGGCTCCAGTCACACTAAAAGCCTTATACAACTGGAGAGTGATGTTACACTGCACAAACTTTATTGTGTTGAGTTTAAAAAAAAAAGAAGCTTCCTTCCTTATATCAAATTGATATTTTTGGATGTGTGCAGCTTTATTTAATTTGATAACAATATAAAAACAGGAAGAACAGGTGCAAACCTTTTTTTAACAAACATTCTGGGAGATTTTAAGTGAGTTGTAAAGTGAAGTAAAAATCCCCTTCAAATCTTCTGTGTAGCTGGTGTCAGAGCCAACATCATCTCACAGAGCACAGAACACAATCTGCCCTTCTCCACAGACAACATGCGCGTCACCAATACATCTGCAGTGGTGGAAGAGACTCAGATCAATTACTCAAGTAAAAATACCAATACAACAGAAGTCGTGTATTCAAAATCCTACTTAAGTATTAATTCAGTATCGTCAGCATCATGTAAAGTATTACCGTATCAGTAAATTGTCTGATGTGACATAATCAGATAATTAATCCAATCATTGCAACTTTAGCAGCATTTTAATGTGACTTTCATTACTTTGAATACAGTTTAATGCAGTTGTTCCCAACACAGGGCTTGGGCCCCTCCAAATGATCAGCAGATCAATTGGAGGGGCCATGAGAAGATTCATGGGAGGGCAGCTTTGAACCGTCTGATCTGTGACAACTTCAGTGGCTCATGGTCACAAGTAATCAATACAATGGTACTTCTTACTTCTGGTTGTGCTCCACCCCCTGTTAATGACACATCCTCGATTCTAATGGTTCTATTCAAAATTGGTGGAAAAGCAGGCTGGTTCATTAGATAGCAGCAGATTCCAACAACTGGTAGAACAAGGGTACTGGTTCCAATTAGCCAGTGTGTTTCTCTCTAAGAGATCAAAAAGCTAAATGATCATTGGTTTACTCCTGTGAAATACATTACAGACGGTTTTTAAGTGTAAAATCTTATCAGAGAAAAAGTAAAGTACGCAAACTCAGTGTAACTACAGGACTTGAGTAAACAGTTCTTCCCACCACTGCATGTTGTTGAAAGGTATTGTGGACATATATCGATAATTTGTGCCTTGTACCTCAACATGGTCTGACACCAGTCACAGTAGGATGAACACAGTAGTTAAGGCTCTGATATCCACATTGTTGTACTTTTAAAGGGACAGAAGTGGCTAAGGGTTGTTCACATATGAATATTTTGGTTTAAGCAGCTGTATATTTGGAGCACGAACCCTCAGCCACAGGTCTGCACTCCACGTGCCCCGTTAACTGTAAATCCAGTGACTAAATTCACTCATTCAAATCCCTGTAGCTGTTCTAGTTTGACAGCTGCTGCTGTTGAGTTACAAACTATTTCATGATGCTGTTTAAAAAAAAAAACAATGAAAAAAACAAGGGCAGAGCCCAGATGTATTTTCTCCTGCACTCCTTTTCTTCTATGATGACTGGAGTCTCCGAGTTGGTCGGCTTCCGGCTCACTGCAACACACCTGACTCAGCGTAACAAAGCTCCCTGAGGGACAGGGCCAGGAGCTCGTCCTCAGGCTTCAGGTTGAGTCGATGGGTGGGGGTGCACGCAGAACGGTGGAGTGTAAACTAACCAAAGTGTGAAATACCCTGTATATTTGTGTTTTTGGTTTGATTTCTTTAATCCGTAACTGCCTGGACTTTGTCAAATCCGTGCTTAAAAAGCCCTGATGAAATGATTTCAAGTTATTTTGGGTGATGTCCCTGAATGTCCTCTGTACTGTAAATGTACACCCTGGGCTGCATTTCCCCTCTTTAAACACATGAGTGCTTGAGTAACAAGTAAAATACTCTAAGAGATTGTTAGCGGCATAAGCTGGCCTTTGTCGCCACTTGGAGACAATGATTCTCAGAAGAGAAATACAGTGCACCTCTGTCGTCGCAGATCATGTACAGCGGTTCCCTCACTCAGAAAAGTGAACGTATTTGTATTTTGCAGGAAAAAGAAAACTTTAAATATACAGGCTCTGTTACAAATGTCTCTGTGTGGTTTGTTCATTTCTTCCTCACTTTCTGCTGCACACTAGTTTTTATTTCATGCCAGAGATTTTAGCAGGACAA